AGAGAGAGAGAGAGAGAGAGAGAGAGAGAGAGAGAGAGAGAGAGAGAATCCCAACCAGGCTCCATGCAGTCAGGGCAGAGCCCGATGTGGGGCTCCATTTCATGAACCGTGAGATCATGACCTGAATCAAAATCAAGAGTCAGATGCCTAACCGACTGAGCCACCCAGGCACCCCAGCAATAAAGCAGTTTGTAATAAAGGTGTGTACACTGTTTCGGGGGGTCATAATGCTATTTCACACTTAACAGACTATAGTGTAATGTGAACCTAACTCTTACATGAACTGGGAAACCAATAAATTCATTTCACTCACTCTATTATGATACGCAGTGGCCTGGAACCAAACCTGCAATATCTTTAAGGTGTACCTATGCACTGCTCTGCTATGGAGACAGCTCCAACATTTTTGGCACTTAAAAAATAAACAAGGTGCAGAGCAGCAGACACATGCAGTGTGCTATCATCTATGTGGTGCCAGTACTTACACACGTGTACATTTTCCATGTAAATGCATGGAAAATTCCTGCAAGATAAGCTATTAATTACATTAATTCTAGGGAGGAGAAATTGGGATGTATAGTTGTAATATGACACTTGTCATCATATATCCTTTGGTACTATTCTGATTTTTTGTTATTTTCATTGCAATTTAAAATTATTTAGAAAAATAGAATAAGAAAGTAAAACCATCTGGAAGGCAAGGCCATCACCGTGGTTAGAATCCTCCGCACTGCCACCAACTGGTCAGATAATCCTGAATGAGTTCCTTAACTTTTCTAAATTCTAATTTCCCCACCAAAAAAAGAAGATAGGTGACAAAGGATCTTAACACCATGAATACAAAAGCATTCTGTATTTACAAGAAGGCTCCATCCTATCCTCTTCAGGTTCCAGACAGACCACGTGGGCTTCCACACAATATTTTTTTTTGTACTTACTGTGTATAAGCCAGGCATGTATAGTTGTTAGGGAGAAATCAAGGTACAGTGAGAATGTCTCTGTACTTGAGAACAACTATCTGTTCCACTTGCCCCTGTTTTCCAAAATTATAAATATTAATTCTACAAAGGCCTAGTGAGTGGATCAATGCAGGACCAGATTACTCAAAGAACATTTTGAGTCCCCCTCCACTGTGTGAGCGAACATGGCATGGAGCACATACCTTATTTGGAATGTTGATATCACTTCCTGCTGTCAGGAGCACTTTGCTGCATTCTTCATGACCTCCTTTAACAGCCAGAAAGAATGGTGTTTCTCCATTCTTAAAAAAAATAAATAAATAAAAGGAAAAAAGTTAAAATTAATTGCCCCTTGACATGAAATAAAATTCCTTGAGGAACAGCATGCTTTCTCTATACCTTTTGTGCATTACTCTTAATGGATAGCATTTACTGAGCATCTATATGACAACTTATATTGCCAAGACTATATGCCTTGGCAGAGTTAAATGCACAACCCTACGAGGTCAGGATTAATATCCCCATTTACAGATAAAGAAATTAAACCTTAGCTGAAAAGTGACAAAGCTAGGCTGCAAATCCGGATGTTTGGCTCCAAAGCCTGCACCCATACGGATCTTGTTATTCTGCCTCCTTACAGGGTTTTCATCCACCATTATACTCTTAATCTTTACTATTTTATCTCCAAAACATTTATTGGACACTTACTGCCTGTTGGGCAAAGGCTTTGGGATTGAAATGACAAACACACACAAATCCTGCCCACAAGAAGGTAACAGCCTATTAAGCAAGATAATCACGGAAATATGAATTATAATTCAGTGTGAAACACACACAAACAGAAGCACATTTGTACCAAGTATAGCTTTAACGTTTAAAACTGATTTAAACAATTGTGTGTCATTAAAAAAAAAACAACAACAACACAGTAATACTCTTTCTCAGTAATTAAGTTTCTGGAAACTCATTATGATAAATGCTAGTAGGGTAAAGTGAGAGCTTAGTTTAGGCCAAAACACAGAAAAAAAGGAAAGAACTGGTATCACACAAAAGCCACTTGGATATTATCCCTTTCTCATGCAGATTCTTTCCTGAAAATTTTGGGAAAAAATGCAGAATCCCTTCTCATTCCCTAAACATTTCCCCCCCATGGGCATTATTCTGCTTAAAAATGCATTAGGATAAGTTCAAATGGTTTTACTTATAGCTAATTAGATATGAACAATCATGTCAAGAGGGATGCAGGGGCATGGAACCAATGTTCCCATCCCAATGAGATGGAAAAACTATATCCAGCTTGCTTTACATGAGTGTCTGGGACAGCCATCTGTTACAGAGGAATTTCTCCTCATAATATGCCTTCTCATTTTCCTGGAAAAGAGATGCCAAATGGCAAACCACAGTGGGAAAAGCATTAGTGAAAAATGTGAAGGAAAGAATTCACACATCATTTAAAAAATTTTTTTTAATTTTTATTTGAGAGAGAGATCATGTGTGCACACACTCCAAGAGGGGCAGAGGGGAAGAGAGACAGACAGAAACAGATAGACAAGAGAAAGAGAATTCCAAGCAGGCTCTGTGCTGCCAGCACTGAGCCAGATGCAGGACTCTATCCCATGAACCTGGGATCATGACCTGAGCTGAAATCAAGAATCCAATGCTCAACTGAATGAGCTACCTAGGCGCCCCAAGAATTCACATCTTTAACATATCAGGAGCCTAATAAACATTTGTATCTGTGACCCAACAATCCTCCCTTTAAGAATATACCTAAAGGAAATAGTGAGGAATTCAGACTATGGTTTTTATACAAAGAGGCTCATGACAGCCTAATTTTTAAGAAAAGAAAAAAGGATATAAATAAAATGTCCAAGACTCTTAAAAACTGAGAACAAACTTAGGGCTGATGGGGGGCGGGAGGGAGGGGAGGGTGGGTGATGGGTATTGAGGAAGGCACCTGCTGTGATGAGCACTGGGTGTTGTATGGAAACCAATTTGACAATAAATTTCATATATTTAAAAAAATAAATAAATAAAATGAAATAAAATAAAATATCCAAGAGCTAAAGAATAGTCATATGAACTCTGGACAACCAATAAGAATATATATGCACAGGAACACAAAAAAAAATGGAAGGAAAATATATCTGGTATCTCTAAAATAATCATTTCAGTGTGGAGAAAATACAAAACTACTATTTATTTTTATCTTAAATTTTTAAAATGTATATTTCTGGCATATATTTTGTAATGTATTAGTTTAATTATAAATGTGCATATGACAGATGCATGCCCGTATTTCCTTACTGATAGGAGAGTTTGCTTCCAAGACTATTTAGAGACAGCCCCGCTAGATTATATTCACATGGATCACTCCAACTGGTCTGGCAACAGCTTACATTAGGAAACGTAGGCAGCCCATGACTGTATAAAGATTATGGGCCTTATTCAAAGGGCTGATATTATCACTAGACACTTCATTCTCTGAAGATGAAACCTATCATAATCTGCAATTACAGTGTGTTGGACTTTATGAGCTCTCTCTAATGTGCCCTAACTCAAAAATAGCTAAATGGTGGATAAAATCCAAGTGCACACATTCCAGTGGTAAAGTATTAAAACACAGCTGGGCAAGCATGACCAAGACTTTAAATTAAATCCTGTGACTATAGGACTTGATCTCTATATTGATTTGTGAAGGCTAATCACACCTAAGATTTATTCTAGGTGATTCACTTTTTTTTTTTCCTCACGTTTCTCACACATCATTCGTAACTTGTATTTAAGAAGACCAAATTCCTGAGATCTTTAAATAAGTTAAACCAATTAAACCTGATCATTATTATGCCAGACGGTCAGAAAAGACTGAATACACACTAAAGTAAACAAATGAAGGCTCTATTTTTGTCCATGATCCTCAAGTGAAAGCTTGGCTTGGGCGCCTGGGTGGCTCAGTCAGTTAAGTGTCTGACTCTCAATTTTGGCTCAGGTCATGATGTCATGGTTCATGGGATGGAGCTTTCAGTGCAGAGCTTGCTTGGGATTCTCTCTCTCCCTCCTCTCTCGCCCCTCCCGTGTGCACTCGTGCTCTCTCTCTTTCTCTCTCTCTCTCAATAAATAAATCAACTTACGAAAATACAAAAAAGAAAGCTTGGCTTAAATTCTCCCAAGAACTTGAAAAGAAAAAATGAGGATAATAATATACCACTGATACAAATGATAACCATGAGGCTGCCTGTATGGTTCATCACTTAAGTGTCCGACTTCAGCTCAGGTCATGATCTCACGGTTCGTGAGTTCGAGCCCCACATTGTGTTCTGTGCTGGCAGCATACAGCCTGCTTGGGATTCTCTCTCTCTCTCTCTCTCTCTCTGCCCCTCCCCTGACTGTGCTCGCTCTCTCTCTCTTTCTCTCTCTCTCAAAATAAACAAACTTAAAAAACAACAACAACAAATGATAACTATGATCCCATTTATTGCACCAAGATAACACCAATGATAACAGATGCCACTTATTACATGCCTACCGTGTGCCAGGCACTATTCCAGGTGCTAAGTGTGTGCCACAGCCTTCACATTTAAACTTCACTATGGCCTTATGAGGTTATTTGACAGATGAGTAAACTGAGGCTAAGAGGGGCTATGTGCTGAGCCCAAGATCACTTACCTAGAAGAGCGACGGAGCCAGGACCTGACCCACACAGTCAGAGCCCTGCTTTCAATCTCTGGGTGCCCAGATCCGGGGATGCATGGGACTAGCCTGGTGGGCTTCTCTGGTCCAAAGGGAATACAGACTTGGCCCAGGCATCACATACACTCCCTTTCATAGCCTTCCCTTTCCATTAGGTTGCTAGTTTTATGGTCAAAAGCCACCAATACTAAGTCCCATCTTGTTTTATCTGAGATCAGGATGCATCTCACAATCTTAGTCAACCAGGTAGTATATGTGATGCTGTCACTGCCTGTCATGTGTATGAAATCAGAATGGGTGTTGGCTTAAATCTCAGAAACCATATAGGGTAACCTTAAAGAAATGTTGCATTGCAAGCACCTTTGAAGGCACAGAGGACTGTATTTTGTTTCAAAAAGCAAGGACATCAAGACTGAGTAAGAATCAAGCTCAGTGTGAAGTTTACGAACCAACTTATTTATTTGTTCCTTTATATGTGTATAATAAAAAATCTAAGGTAAACATCTAAGAAACTCTTTCCATAAGTATAAACTATTCTAAAGGACAAAAAAGCTGCTTGTCTGTGTCACTGTTTAATTGGCAGCATTATTTTTTTCTTAGTGTTACATAAAATAATGATATACCTCACAGTCATCGATGTCTTCAATGATTATATTACCTCTTAGAGTATTGCTCAGAGAGGTATTAAGTTTAGAATTTATCAGAAAGTTAAACTATGAAGTCCAAGAGGACTCCATTCACCTGAGTTTCCAAAGAGCCAGTCCAAAAATCATTGACTCAAAGGTAAAGTGACCACCTAGAGCAGATCTGCCTCCCTGGCACAACTTCTCCACGTAAGCCTTATGCCCAGTTTCTATCTCCCTGCCCTCCACTGAACCCCAGATAGTTTCTATCTCCCCACTGCTCCCCACCTGAATGTCTGCCCCCCTCCCAGGTGCCTCATCACAAACCCGTTCAAAACCCTTGTTACTGATCTCACCCACATACTCTGCCCTGTGCTCACAGCTTAGGGGAGGCACCCCACCCTCCCAGTAGTCCAAACCAGTGAGTCAGGTATCAGAAAGTCTTCTCTCTCCCTAATTCTGGTCACAAATCCTGTGGCCTCTGCCTCCTCCTATTGCTTCATCCTATTTGCTCCTTGTAAGTGCCCTGGTGACAGGTTTTCCATAGTTCTTGCTTCAGCAATTTCCACTGTCACCTGACTGGGGTCCCCACCTCCAGCCTCTGCAGGCACCAAGCCCCCACTTCAAACCACTGGGACAGTCACAGACCTGTAACCAACACAGAACTCATTCCCCTCTGCTGCTTAACACCCTTCAAGGTCTCCACTATCTTCAAGTCAAAGCCAAGGTCTCCTGGTGAGCACAGCCTTTCTGTATCTCTATGCCTTGGCCCTCTCAGCTCCCACCTTTTTGAATGCCCTTCTTGCCCTTAGACTTCTAGAATAAGAATACATACTCTCTCCAGAATAGAGTACATATTCAACAAATATTTTTTGAGTCAATGGGTAAATAAATGAATGGACTAACAAATGACTTGCTGGGATACTTTAGAGAAAAAAGAAGGAATCTTGTAACATCACATTTTACACTCTGTGGCACTAACATCTTTGTTTTCCTCCCATGAAAGCCATTCCTCCCACCCTTCCACTTTTGAGTCTTGTGCCCACCCCTAACGAGCACCTTCACATACCTCATTGATCTCATTTATTTCTTGCTGCTGGGTTAGCAGCACATGGACCGCAGGACTGTGACCATGCTTTGCTGCAAGGTGCAGGGCAGTATTTCCCTCCTGCAACAGAGACAAACTCACCATAGAGTCCTCTGCACTGAGCAACATGACCCTCCAATGGTCAGGACTGTAATGAGTTTTCTGAGGGGTTTCATTTAGGTTAAAGCTGTGGTCCAGAGTGTGGGCCACATTATCCACAGTTTCAAGTGAAATTTATAATTTTTTACAGTTTCAAATGAAAAGACATAGTTGATCCAACAAGTGGGAAAACACCATCCATGCCCCTCATTCTACCTTTGCTGCTAATTTGCTAGCAAAAGGTGAAACAATAAAAGCAATTCACATAACCTATGTGAAGATAAACTGGTGACAAATTTCTGGGAGATAGTTTTAGCAATGTATACCAAACAATTTAATGTGTAGAACTTTTGAGCCCACAATTCTATATATACATATGAATTTCTCCTAAGAAAATAATCAAAGATGTGAATATAGATATGGGTGTCTATCAGGGTTTCCCTCCCCAGTCAGGTAAGACTGACTCTTCAGCAGACCTCAAGGGACAAAGAGCACTGGAACTGACAGTGGAAAAAATCCATGTAATCTATTGAGTTCACAAACATTTATTGGGTGAAAACTGGCAATGTGGATGATCCATTGCCAAAGTGGGTTCATTTCATCTGGATATTCCATTATTCTGACTGTAGTAACAAGTGAACAAGTCTATTCCTGACCAAAATGCCATCACCAAATCTATATACCAGCTGTCACCACCCCCTTTCTCTCATTCTCAGCAAAGAAATAAAAGTCCAACTCACCTTGTCTTTTTCTGAAGTATGTAGATTAAGGAAGATAAGTTTTTCTATCATTTCAATGTGGCCCCTCTCAGCTGCCCAAAGAAATGGTTTTCTTCCTTTCTGAAAATAAATCACAAACCTCCAGTGTTTATTATACATTTATTGAATAAGCAAGACAACAGAGAGAGGCAGAGCACAAGCAGGGAAGAGGGAGAGAGGGAGACACAGAATCCGAAGCAGACTCCAGACTCCGAGCCGTCAGCACAGAGCTCAACATAAGGCTTGAACCCATGAATCATGAGACCATGACCTGAGCTGAAGTTGGACACTTAACCAACTGAGCCACCCATCAGATGGTGCCCTATCTAACTCCAGATATTTTAAAGGAGGAAGAAAAGATAGTTGGGGGCAGGGGAGGGGAATGGAGACAGAAGTATTTTCTTCATTTAAAGAAAACACTCATGAGGGTGCCTGGGTAGTTCAGTCGGTTAAATAACCTACTCTTGATTTCCACTCGGATCATGATCTCATGGTTCATGGGATCAAGTCCCCTATCAGGCTCTGTGCTGACAGCACAAAGCCTGTTTGGGATTCTCTCTCTTTCCCTCTCTCTCTGCCCCTCCCCTGGTCACACGTGTTCCCTCTCTCTCTAAATAAATAAATAAACTTTAAAAAAATAAAGAAAACACAAATTGGCTTGCTGTGTTATTAACCAAAGGCTTAGAAAAATGTCTGAAATGTGAAAAACAAGATACAAGCCTCTTTATAAGAAGGTTCCTGAATCTGAATCTGAGATTTGTTATCTGATCTGCTAATGCAGGGTAATCAAAAGATCATGGAGACTGTTAACTTGAGATAACAGCACATGACTCCCCCATAACTGGGAAAAAAAGGAAAAATGTTGAAATAATAAATGGCAAAACAAAATGTCCACGAGGATCAGCCCTATGGAGCTCTCCATTCACACATATATGGAAGTTGGAGAAACAAAATGGTGCCAAAAAGTTCACCTAATTCATTATTCTTGAGCCAGACCTGTTTGCCAGTGAGGCCTATATCCCCAAGCTTCTATGCTGGAAGGCCTGACTCTCATTGTCATTCTCATAAAGTCACTAAGGAAGGGCAAAGAGAAGGAACAGAGACTGCTTCGACCCCCAGTCTTCTGTTAGCAAGTTAGACCCCTAATTGAAGAGAATTTAGTCTTGAGCCATGAACAACATTTTGGAAATGATAGACCAAAAATTATTGGATCTAGGTTATTCAAATATATGCAAATGGAGACAAAAGAGAAAGGTTCATATAAAAAAATGACAAAAAGAGATGTGAGAGACATGATTATACACTACATGAAAACATTTAGTCACATACCTTTATAAATTATTCATTAATTTATTCCACAATTACTGAGCATCTATGAATATGCCAGATATTGTGCTCAACCATAGAGTGGCTGGGATGAAAGATACACTGCCCCATCCTCAAGAAGCTCAGAGTGCAACAGGGAAAATGGACACATACAAGCAATGATAATGAAATATAGGAATTGAACCCTGGTGACACGCGGGAATACTTAACTCAGCATGAATGTGTGCTTGTGGGTGGGGAGACAGGTGACAAGAAATGAAGAAGGCAGCCTTTTAAGTTCATGAATGCACTGGGATGGGAGAAAAGAGCACTGGTGATGTTTCCTGCCCATCATCTTTTCCTCTAGAGGGCCTGTGGCCTATTTTTGTGGAGCTGTTAATTACAGGCTCCTGCCTCTTCCACAATATATCCCTTGGTCACACTGTTTGGTTCAGGTATGGTCACATGCCACGCCAGGCCAATCAGGGTCAACCGTGGGATTATTTTTCTGCGCATTCTATTTGTAGTCTAGAATCAGCAGCAGCTAAGCCATCAGCAGTCCTCCCTGTTACCTGATGAGGACAATTTGCCTAAGAATAAAGCCAGCACAGTGGAGAGCAGAGCTGGAAATGGAAAAAGAGACAAGAGCCCTGTTGACATCATTTGCGCTGCTGGATTCAGACATAACTAAAATTGCCTGTGCCTAAAGTGTCTAACTGAATGAGTCAATACATTCCTTTTTTTTTTTTTTTTTTTTCCCTTTAAGTAGTTGGAGTTGAGCTGCTGTCACCCCTCACTAGCAGGGCTTCCTTAAAGCAACTGCCCTATCTCAAAGATTTATGAGAATGACTTCAACGCCCACCAGAGGGTCTTTTTGGCTTCAATTAAAGATTTCAGAATAACGGAATTATCACCGGCCACATCTGACACCACTTTACTCTGAAGATATAGGACACAAACCACAGCTGGCCAAGGTCAGCCGTTCCTCTTCATACCATGTCCCTACAGAGTTGTCCAGGAGCTGCTGCCTTTGGCCCCCCAGGTGATAGCTCAGTTGCAAGGTGACAAATCTACAGTGGACAGGCATTGGAGCCACCCTGTCTAGAAGGATGGTGCCCCACAGGAATAAATACCCCAAGCATAGCTTCCAGATCCCCACAAGGGATGTGCTCCATTAGTTATAAGTCATTACAGTCAGGGAAGCCCAAACCCAAAATATGGCTTCCCCCCGGTGATGATAGTGCATCTGTAGTTCCTCCAAGTCCAGATGCAATTTGCCAATTAGGGGTCATTTTTATCATAAACAACGCTAATCTTGTTTGCAGTAACACAGAGCTAGAAAGTTAACTAACGTTTAAATTCTCAGGCAGAAGGGGTGCCTGGGTGGCTCAGTCGGTTAAGCGGCTGACTTCGGCTCAGTTCATGATCTCGCGGTCCATGAGTTCGAGCCCCGCTTCGGGCTCTGTGCTGACCACTCAGAGCCTGGAGCCTGTTTCAGATTCTGTGTCTCCCTCTCTCTGACCCTCCCCCGTTCATGCTCTGTCTCTCTCCGTCTCAAAAATAAATAAACGTTAAAAAAAAAATTAAATTCTCAGGCAGAAGCAAAAGGGGTCTTATTAGCCCTTTACCACAGAAACCATAAATGATACATGAGGGTGTTGTGTCCCAGAGTAGACATTTACTGCTTTTATGTGTATGTTTCTTCTAGTAACAGCAGGTTCATTTTCCTTTTGAGAACTTCCCCACTTATACAGACACCATTTATCCATTTAGTGCTGTCAACTGCCAGGTTTCACCCGCCACATGAAGTGATCACTTTAACCCACGCTGGTCACAGTGATTGGTCCAGGATTAGGCAGATGATTCAAGCAGGGCTGAAAAGAGTTGTTTCTGAGATTTATATATGCACATTTATTTTTTTCCTAAAGTTTATTTATTTTGAGAGAGTGTGTACACATGCATGCACAAGCAGGAGAGGGGCAAAGAGAGAGAGGGAATGAGAGAATTCCAAGCAGGCTTTGTGCTGTCAGCACTGAGCTTGACATGGGCCTTGAACTCACGAACTGTGAGATCATAACTTGAGCTGAAATCAAGAGTAGGACGCTTAAATGACTGAGCCATCCAGGCACCCTATATATGATCATTTAATGAGAGAAATTTTCTTTCTTATGAATAAAAATCCATAAGAATATCCCCAAGAATATCTTGAAACTGCTAGCAGCCATCTTTCCCACCTTGTGGAGAGTACCAATAATGCCAACAGAGACAATCGAGAGTTGGAGAGGGAGAAAAAAAAAGGGGGGGGGGCTGGATCCAGCCGTGTCTGAAGCCATTCAGATACACCCTCCAACTTTTTAGTTAGGAATAAATAAATAAATTGCTTAATCTAGATTAAACTGGATTTTTATCACTCATCGCAGAAAGAAGTTTCACAGATACATATTTAGTAGTATGGGAACGAATACTACTAGAAGTACCAGGGGTCCGTTGAACTTTAAAAAGGCCTTACTCTTACCCTTGGCTAATACAAAGGCTTGCATTTCTGCATGGCTAAACAAAGTGACAGAGGACTCACCCACAAAGAAAGCCTAGTCTGGGAAGAAATGGGAGGTTATCAGAGTTGAAACATTTTTCCTCACCAAGAAAACAGCTATTACTTTCAACTTTGGATGCCCTTTAAAAATGTGATTATCAAGGGGAAAAAAAATGTGAACGTGAAATTACACAAAATAAGGGCATTTAAAGTAATCTATATTTTAGAAATGTACCAAAAGGCAACATAAATAAGGAAGAAGTGACAGTAAAATGAGATATAAATCTTTTCTCTCATCTTAGTACATGTTATTAGGAAAAATAAGAACTTTAAAAATACTTGTCTTTTTCCTGTTTAAATACTGTTTCTTACCATGTCTCATTTCATTTTTTACCCATCCAATCCTTTTAAAATGATGTTCAAGTCGACCTCTATGCAGTGCAGCCTCGCAGGACTCCTGCCCACTTGCAAGGCAGGGAGATTTTTCAGTCAGGGCAATGGAATAGTGGTGTCAGAGCCCCAAGCTGAAGACAAATCACAAGGCCTCCCAGCTCAGGATGCTGATTGCCTTCCTTAATTAATGAGCATAAGAAGGGGCTAGAATTCCTTTTTCCTTTATTAACACAATGTATATTTAACCTAACATGTTTTTAATTCAATGCATTTAAATTGTTTGCATGTGAACAAATCTAAGGGGTTAAAATTGTTAATTTGAGATTATTTTGGGGGCACCTGGGTGGCTGTCAGTTAAGCTCCCGACTTGGGCTCAGGTCATGATCTCATGGTCCATGAGTTCAAGCCCCGCATCAGGCTCTGCACTAACAGCTCAGAGCCTGGAGCCTGCTTTGGATTTCGTGGCTCCCTCTCTCTCTCCAACCCCCACCCCCACCTTCTCATGCTCTGTCTCTCTCTTTCTCAACAAATAAATAAACATTAAAAATGTTTTTGAAATTATTTTTCATTTTGAAGTTTACTACCAGGATTATCAAATTTGACAAGTTACCAAATTAAACAAAGATTTCATAAACAGCCATTCAATAGGCACCTGAAGTCCAAACTGACTCTTCTTGCCCATAGAGATCCCGGAGGTGGTGCCCTGGAGAGCCTCTGAGAGGAGGCCAGGGAGGACCCAGCACCAAGTCCTCCAGTGCCTTGCGTGTAGGTCTACACCCCATGGCAACTCTCCTTATCCTGGGACCCTCACAACAGAACCCCAACATAAGGAAAACACCAGGAGATTCCTTAATAACTAGAGATTGGAAAGGGAAAAATAAGTTGCCATGAAGTAAAAACTACTGAAGGAGCAGTGTGTTAAATATGCAGTCATGGACCTAGGGTGGGTAGGATGAGCTCTCCCCTTGCACACTGGAACCCTTAAATATTGGCCTCAGGTCCATACAAGAAAATCTATCTTTTCAAATCCTCTCATGCTCATTATTCCCAACACTCCAAAATGGGACGCTTCTTTGCATTTTGACCTCTAAAGACTTACTATATTCATTTGAACCAATGGAAGTTCCCATTAAGTATGCAGCTGAAACCAACCTTACATTGTACCACCAAACTCTTAGATTCAACAACTGTGCATATACTCTAAAGCCATTCCTTTCTGTGTCGCTGCTCCACTCCAAACATTTTGAGTGCTTATTTTTGACCACTAGATGGAAGTTTACACGTAGATTCAGAACATCTACACTACTTCACCCAAAACTTCTCCCAGCTGCTCTATTCTCTCTCCCCTGGAGAGGACACATGATTTCCCAAGCTATGGACATGAAAGAAACCTCAAAGTATTTTCCATGTCTTCCATCTCTCCCATCCCCACCCACACTTTCCTGGGCCTAGTGACATCCCTTTTATTAATAAAGACCGCCTCCCTATAAGGCTTTCCTTGTTAGCTTTTGGAGTTCCCTCTGGGCTAGAGAAAACAATCTTACTAATACTGGTCAGGTAAACAGGCTCTCAATCACATTCTGCCGATAAGAAAGTAGGCAAGAGGGCCAGCTATGAGGGTGAAGCAGTTTTTTCTATCAAATGCATTCAATGAGTTCCACAATACTTTTAAGTAAACACAGAACGAAAATCCAAAGATGAATTAATAGATCCTGAGCTCCTGATCCCAGTTCATACTGGATTTTGCCAACATCCTTGAACCGCACTCACAGATCTCAGAAAAAGAGTAAACTTTGTCTTTTGCATTGATCCACTTAGGTTTCTTTAAAACTAAAATTGGATTCAGAGATTCCTTTCTCCCAAATGAGCCAGTGGAGTATTTATTTGTTCATTCCTCATATGTCTCTGAATCCATCTTAATTTTAAGATCTCTCAGTGGGTGGGGAGGGGGGCACCTAGATGGCTCAGTCAATTGAGTGTCAGACTTCAGCTCAGGTCATGATCTTGCAGCTCGTGGGTTCTGTGCTGACAGCTTAGAGCCTGGAGCCTGATATGGATTCTGTCTCCCTCTCTCTCTACCCCATCCCCACTCACGCTCTTTCTCTCTCTCAAAAATAAATAAACATTTAAAAAATTTTTTAAAAAGATCTCTCGGTTGGACATGTGGTTCTGCACAGTCTGCTGCCAGGGCTCCCCAGTCTTTTTCCCACCAGACAGAGGAGGAGGAAGAGGGGTGGGACAGGACAACCCCAGAGTCAGCTACAGAGACGGTGGGCAAGAGGGCTGCTGGCCAGCAGAAGTTCCAGATATGAAGGCTCCCCACAAACCTGCTTTGGTCTTTGAGTCCCTTCAGCCTATTGATCCTCCCATACACAGCTGTCTCCTGTCAAAGCAGCTGGAGCCCACTGAAAAGGAAGACCGTCATGTGTCTCAGAGATACCAAATATCTGCTGAATGGAACTGAGTGGAATTCATTCACAGGTCACATCCCTACCTAGCATCAATCAAACCAGAATGATCTAATGTCCGCACTGTGACACTAGATGCTATCTATGATTATGATTTTGAGGAAATCAGACAATGCATTTTGCCCTATGATTACTGTTATAACAACTACATTTAGTGAGCACTTACCAGGTACCAGACTCTTTGTTTTTTATAGTCATTAACTCATTTAAACATCTTAACAGTGGCTGTTCCAATACTGCCACATAAGAATGGCATAGGGGTGGTATCTGATTAGAAAAGGGTGGTAGAATGGCTTACAGTGAAGTTCAATGGCATAGGCATTTTTTACATAAAATTGAGGAAATGTCAATACTCTATATCAAACCATAGAGGTATTGCCTCCCCAATTATCCCTTGTAGATACCAAGGCTTTTAGCAGTCAGAGAACTTGCTTAAAACCGTATAACTAATACATGCCCAGACCACAGCCCATGTCTGTCTGCCTCCAAGCTGTAAATGTACAGATGCTCAGTCATACTCAGAGGAAGTAAAAGAAACTTAAAGACTTCATTTGAACAAATTACCGTTGTTGTTGTTGTTTTTAAGACTGGAGTCAGACAAGAATGTGAACGTTTTTTTTTACAAGAGGTCAAATGAGGTATTACTGATTAATTTATGGAGAGACTTTTATTTTTTTTTTTTAATTTTTTTTCAACGTTTATTTATTTTTGGGACAGAGAGAGACAGAACATGAACAGGGGAGGGCAGAGAGAGAGGGAGACACAGAATCGGAAACAGGCTCCAGGCTCTGAGCCATCAGCCCAGAGCCCGACGCGGGGCTCGAACTCCCGGACCGCGATATCGTGACCTGGCTGAAGTCAGATGCCTAACCGACTGCGCCACCCAGGCGCCCCTATGGAGAGACTTTTATGGACACTATTGTAGGCACAGTGAAAAAGAGGTCCCATTTGAAATCAAAACTTCAATCTCACAGGGTATACTCCCTTATGAAAAAGGCCTAGAAGAAGATATTCCAGGGAAAAGACAGTTCATGACACAGGAGGAATGTCCACAGTCATCTGAGAAGAGAGACAGGACAGCATGGTGACTGAGGTCAGCAAGACCTGAATTCAAATTCTGGCTCTCATTGTCCAACTCTGGGATATGGATGAGGTACTCAGCCTTTCTGAGCCTCAAATTCATCACCTTTAAAAATAAGCAAAATTCGCAGCACCTGGCTTGCTCAGTTGGTTAAGCATCTGACTTTGGCTCAGGTCATGATCTCAGAGTTTGTGAGTTCAAGCCCCACATACAGCTTTGTGCTGACAGCTCAGAGTCTTGTGTCTCCCTCTCTCTGTCCCCGCACCAACCCCCCTGCTCTGTCTCTCTCTCCTGCAAAAATAAACAAGCATTAAAAAAAAAAAAAAAAAAAGCAAAATCCAGGGCACCTGGGCAGCTCAGCCAGTTAAGTGTCCGACTTCAGCTCAGGTCATCATCTCACAGTTTGTGAGTTTGAGCCCCATGTCAAGTTCTGTGCTGACAGCACGGAGGCTGGAGCCTGCTTCAGATTCTGTGTCTCCCTCTCTCTCTGCCCCTCCCCCATTTACATTCTCTCTCAAAAATAAATAAACATTAAAAAAATTAAAAATAAGCAAAATCCTGCTGTATAGGCTTATTATGGGAATTAACAGGAGAATTCATTCATTTAGCAAAGATTTGTTAAACCATATACACCAGGCCCTCAACTTCTCAATGAAATAATGTAAGTAAATAGCTTTCCTTTGTACCTAGCACACCAATAAATACTCAACAGGTGGTAGCTGTTATTATTATATATCTACACATGAAAAGAAAAGGAATGTAGACAAGTACAGTAAAATTGCATTATATTCCATGGCTCATTACTACATACACTTGGGCCAAATACACTCCAAAAAGGCCAAGCATAATGTAGTAAAATGAAAGCATAAATTCTAAATACAAAATAGGGTGGATACTGTCTACACCCAACCAGGATGAGAGAGTAAAAGGGGAAAAAAGAACTTAGCGGCTTCCTCAGTACTCCTCATCCTCCCCACGTGCAGATGCCAGGGTCACCACCAACACCAACACTTCTCATCTGTTCTGCCGTCTGCCAGAGTGACAGAGGAGCTGGGTACAGGGCCAGGTCTGTCTGTGCTGGATGCTTTGGCAACTCTAGGAGGAGTAGGAAGAAAGAGGAAGGTAGGTGGATGTGTACACGGGACCTATCCTACCAGAGCAAACATACCTCATCGGGCTGGTTCAGGTCCTTCAAGTGCAGATCTTGAATGAGGTACTCCACAATGCGTACATTATCGTTCTGAGCTGCAAAGTGGAGGGCATTCATTCCATCCTGAAGAGAGCCAAGGTAAGGGACATAATTACACAACAATCTTAAGACTTCCCCAACACACATTGGTACAGTGAGGACTATTTTCAGGAGTGACCCACATCCCACCTGATTCTTGGCTCTCTGGTCTGCTCCAGCTCTAACCAGCATGAGCATGATCTCAAGACTTCCAGACCAGGCTGCAAGGTGAATTACTGTCAAGCCGTGCTTCCCCAAGAAGAGAAAAGAGAGGTATCACTCGGATGAGCCACAACATATTATTTCAGTCAACAAAGACCAAGTTAATACTGAAATCTTGAAAATGAAGAAATAGGGAGAAAATTTAATATTCAGTAAATGTAATATTTCAATTCTATGGGGGAGAGGAATACATTTAAAATGGTGCAAGGACAAGTGGTTCTCCATAGGGAAGAAAATAAAATCAAATCTTGTATCATATTATACATGTAAAAAAGCACACAAAAAGTACACATATTAGAAGAAAATCTAGACTGTAAGACACAGTGTCTTGATCTACAAGTTACAAAAGGAAAGACTGATGAAGTCAATAAATAGATTTTTCAAAATGTATCTTAATAAACATAAGTGGTTACTTTCTCTAATACATGAAGCCTCTTACAAATCAACAAGAAGAAGGCAATTAAACCAATTGAAAAAGTGTACCCCCAAAAAGGTGCTCTCTTAAGGTATTAGTGGAAATGAACCACTTTGGTTTCAGCAATTCGGCAACATCTACCGAAATTTTAAATTCAACAAGCAATTCTACTACTGGGAATCTATCCTTTGAAAATGAGTTTTAGGACCTAATGTTATATAAACAAGGATATTAACTGTAGCCCTTAAAAATGAGAGCAAAGGTAAATGTCCATTAATAATAGGAATGCTGAACACATTAGGGAACCGTGACACCACATCAGGCAGCCATAAAAAATAATGAGTTGGAGGGGCACCGGGGTGGCTCAGTGGGTTAAGCATTTGACTCTCAATTTTAGCTCAGGTCATGATCTCAGGTGAGATCATGAGAGTGAGCCCCACATTGGGCTCTGTGTTGACAGTGTGGAGCCTGCTTGGAATTCTCTCTCTCCCCCTCTCCCTCTCTCTCTCTCTCTCTCTCTCTCCCTCCCTCCCTCCCTCCTCTCTCAAAAATAAATAAACATTTTAAAAAGGTGGGTACATAGGTAGATAGATGCTCAATACCTAGATGGATATGGTTATGAGTAAGAGGAAAAGTACAGATACAAACACACATACTCTGCATTGTTAAATGTAGTCACTAGAGAAGGAGTATGTACACAAAAAAGAAAAAAACAGAGAAGACTGAAGTTATAAAAAGAATCCCAATATATATACCTTATTTGAAATATTTTCTCTGTATAAAATAATATAGGTGCATATGTGCATGAAACAGACTATCAGAGACTTTATCAGGAACCTTTAGGGATGCTATAGGCAGTTAGACTCATATACTCAATGCGTATGAGAAGAGTGTGAAAGGAAATAGCTAACAGTTAACATTGGCTATCTCAGTCAGATAAAGGGTTAGTATCCAAAATCTATAAAGAACTTATCAAACTCAACACCCGAAAACCAAATAATCCAGTAAGAAATCGGCAAAAGGCATGAACAGACATTTTTCCAAATAAGACATCCAGATGGCTAAGAGACACATGAAAAGATGCTCAACATCCCTCATCATCAGGGAAATATAAATCAAAACCACAGTGAGAAACCACCTCATACCTCTCAGAATGCTAAAATTAACTCAGAAACAACAGATGTTGGCGAGGATGTGGAAAAAAAGAGGAACACTTTTGCACTGCTGGTGGGAATTAAACTGGTACAGCCACTCTGGAAAACAGTAGGAAGTTTCCTCAAAAAGTTAAAAATAGAGCTACCCTATGACCCAACAATTGTACTACTAGGTATTTATCCAAAGGATCAAAAATGCTGATTCAAAGGGCACACACATCCCAATGTTTATAGCAGCACTATCAACAATATCCAAATTATGGAAAGAGCCCAAATGTCCATCAACTGATGAATGTATGAGGAAGATGTGGTCTCTGTGCGTGTCTGTGTGTGTGAATGTGTATATAAATACACACCATGCATGTATATCTATAGACACATGTGCACACACACACACACACACGGAATATTACACAGCAAGCAAAAAGAATGAAATCTTGCCATGTGCAACAAAGTGGATGGAACTAGAATCTATTATGCTAAGCAAAATAAGTCAGAAAAAGAGAAATAGCCTATGGTTTCACTCATATGTGGAATTTAAAAAACACAATTGTAACCTAAGGATAAGATGCATGGCCCCGATGCTAAGAGCTCCAGGTTCGAAGTGGGTGGCATCCCCGAATCTTGGGAACAGGCACACTAGATGAATGAAGGATCTAGATGTAAACAAAGAATCCCAGGTGGAGGTGGTACTTTGGGGATAATGATAGGCATCAGCTCTCTGAGCTTCTTATCGATGGGAAGCTCTTCTTGTGCAAATATTCCCCAGGGGAAGTTATTGACCTTCTTGCTTACGACCAGACTGGTGCTAAGGCCAGATTGTCACTGACTCTGGGCCTTTTACACTTTACAGAGCATTCTGTGCAACTGTGAGTGTAATCCATGACGCATGCTCACAAACTGCCCTAGGCATGTCAGTTTCGTGTCACAAGACATAGTATTATGAACTTTTCTATGGGGAAATTTACATCTGTGAGTAGTGATTCTTTGCCTGTGAGGAATGATGACTCCACTTGGAATTTATGGCTTCAGAAGTTCCTGTTGTTGGCAGTTTGAATTCCTGACTCTTGGATTTTATTAGTGCTTGAAATCTCTGAGTGTTGCCTGCTTTGAAATTAAGCATGACCTCTTAGGAAAAAAAGAGCTCCTATCAAAATGTGATTCATCTTCTATAAAAAATATTTCTGACCTCTTTTTTGGTCATGTAGAAAATGGATTTAGTATTAATGAATATAGACCATTCATGTGTAGAGAAAGGTAATTGAGGAGTGGAATTGTATTCAGGGCACATTTTTTGAAGAACCTCAACTAGTTATTGTACATCATTGTTCCTTGGGAAAACGAGTGCAGAAATTGGTAAGCATTTTTTTCATACTGGAATTACAAATATTTAAATAGACTAACTCACCGCGTAGTGTGACAGCTGAAATGTAAATTTTATAAAGTACGTACATTTAAAACAAGGCTTATCAACAGTGGCACTATGACATTTTTGGCCAGGTGATTTTTTGTTGTGGAGGGCTGTCTGAGATTATAGGATGTTTTGCAGTTATCTCTGGCTTCTACCCATTAAATGCCAATATCTCCCCTCAGCCACGGCAATTAAAAGTATCTCCAAACATCTCCAAGTATTTCCTGGGAACAAAATTGACAACGCCCCCCCTCCAAGTTGAGAACCACTAATTTAGAGTTACACTTCAATAATATGGGACTTCCTTTTTCATTTCTCCACACCTGTACTTTCCTAAGAAGAGAATACATTAACATAATTTCTGGGGCAGCCAAAATAAATGCCAAAAGACTTATGCTCTTTACAAATGGAGGTGCCCCCGCAGACCCTCATTGCTTGTTTATTTACTCATATTGTATACATCTAGCAAACTGGTTTCCTAGGTTACAAACACAGTTGATTACAAGATCCAAATAAGATGTATGAGAAGACTTAGTTTTATTTTTTAATTTTTTTTTTACATTGATTTCTTTTTGAGAAACAAGTGACACAAAGCGTGAGCGGGGAAGGGGCAGAGAGAGAAGGAGACACAGAATCTGAAGCAGGCTCCAGGCTCTGAGCAAGCGGTCAGCACAGAGCCTGATGCGGGGCTCGAACTCACAAACTGTGAGATCATGACCTGAGCCGAAGTCGGACGCCCAACCGACTGAGCCACCCAGGCACCACATGAGAAGATTTAGTTTTAGAAGGCACTTTAACAGAGTAATAGATGGTTTTTTGCCAGGGATAAAAGGAAACAGAAAAGCAGACACATTAACTTTTAGATAAGGAACCTGAAAGTGAGCATTAACTAGATCACAGCACTTGAAAGTACCAGAACCAGAATTGGAGGTCAGTTTCTTCTGATTTTACATATCATACTCATAATGTTTGCTCTTTATTACTTGTCTAACTTGGGGCCTAGAATGCAGGTCCCAGTTTTCCTAGTTCAGCACCCTCCATTCCACCTTCCTGAGACAGCCAATTTTTAATTTTTTTAGTTTTTTTAAAAAAATTGTTAATATCTATTTATTTTTGAGAGACAGACAGAGCATGAGCGGGGGAGGGGCAGAGAGAGGGAGACACAGAATCCAAAGCAGGCTGCAGGCTCTGAGCTGTCAGCACAGAGCCTGACACGGGGCTCAAACCCACAAACCGTAAGATCATGACCTGAGCCGAAGTTGGATGCTTAACCAACTGAGCCACCGGGATGCCCCTATTTTTTGGTTTTAAATGGAACTTTTATTTTTATTTTTCCTCATGTATTTATTTATTTTTAATTTTTAATTTTTTAAACTTTATTTAAATCCAAGTTAGTTAACAGTCAAAAGACTGTACACCCCTCAAAGCAGGGACTGTATGTCTTGCCAATGCTTCCTGAAACAATTACCTGGGAATCTTGTTAAATCACAGATTCTGATTCAGGAGGTCAGGGGTGGGTCTGATTCTGCATTTCAAGCTCCCAGGAAATACAAGTGTTTCCGTCCCAGGACTACACTTAGGAGTAATAAGAACTTAAATGGTGTTGAATTCCCAGCAGTTGGCATTGAGACTTACCCACAGCAGGCAATGAATAAATACTGATGGGGAAGGGGTTTGATTTTTGGCTCTTTGCAAACAGGTGTTAGAGCTTAGAAGACACAGCTGCCAAATCAAACTCAGGGGTCATCACCCAAATAAAGAGACAGCCAGGTTTGACCAAACACAGCACTGCTTGAATTATAAAAGAATTTTATTGGTTATGTACCAATGCCACTGTGAATAATTAAGTTAGTTACAGAAATATTAAACTTAGTGAAACTTTCAAGGTAGACTACAGAGATACATCAGAAATACATACACACACTCGCACAAGGCCAAGTTACAAAAAGTTGATGTTAGCTCCCAAATGTACATTTGGAAAAGCCTCAAAGAGAATAACTTGGTAAAATATCTCTTCAACAGTTCAGGAACAAGTGACTTATACTCTGACAGAAACCAGCAGTGTATTTAATATATTAGAAACACGGCAATCCTCAGACATGCTTTTTAAAGGAAAAGATGCTGTCAACCTGGGCAATGGATGCATAAATGTTTATTGTACAATTCTTTCCCCTTTTATAGTACATTAAAGATTTGGGGTTATGGTCCTGGGTAGAATGGAGTAAGTATACTGCTCCTGGTCTCTCTCACCAAATGTGACCAAAATCTCCAGAAAGAGTGCATGGCACAGCTATTTGAGGATTCTGGGAAGCAAATAATAGCAATTAGATTGGGGAAGTAAACCAAAACTCAACATATAAACAATGAGGGTTTTCTGATTTGTTTTGTTTTTGTTTTCCTTCCATACCTTCCAGGTTGAACTCAAGGCAGTGCAAGTCACAGAAATGTGTCCTAGGCACAGACACAAAGAGCTAAAAAAAAAAAAAACCAAAAAAAAAAACCACCCTCTTTCTGGTCTACGGAGCAGAAGGGGGATCCTGCAAGAAAGAGAAAGTAGGGGAAATACTGTTTCTTTTTTCTGCTCTGGCTCTGCTGTACACAAGCCTCCTTCCCAAAGCTGGAACCCTGTGGTAGAAGAGGTAGCAGTATCAAGGACTGGGAAAGCACCTAAAACTGACCGAGAAACTGTGTTCAGAAGAGCAGGTAGGGTGGTGACTCATGTTGCTTGTTTTCCTCCCTTAGATGCAGAGGTAGACCTAATTGTAGGAAGCACATAGCAGAGCTGAGAGACTACATACACCCTCAACTTTCTAGTCAGCACACCAAGAAAAGGGGGAGAGGGGCCCTGGAGCTGGGAAAAGTGGGGGTGATGATTCCAGAGAGGGGGAAGCTCAAGAAAGTGAGCCCATAAAGATGTGTGTGTGGCTGCACCCTGACCCTGACATGGACCTGACCCTAAGCAGCATGCCAAAGGCCTGGAATGGTGAACTATGGGGCAGACCACTGCACAGGTCTCAGAATGGGCCCTGGATGGTACATATGCAGGAAAGGTCCAAAGTACTGAAAACTGAAGTGACACTGGTGTCAAATGATGAGGAAATGGGTCCTGCATATGCAAGAAAAAAACAAGAATCTTGACCTATTCCTCATACCTTATAATTAACTCAAAATGGACAATAGATCAATTTTGTTTTTAGTTTTTTAATTTTTATTTTTTTAAAGATTTTATTCCTAAGTCATCTCTTCACCCAGTGTGGAGCTCGAACTCACAAACCCAAGATCAAGAGTCCAATGCTCCACCAACTGAACCAGCCAGGTGCCCAAAAATGGACAACAGATCTAAATGTAAAACACACAGCTATAAAAATTTTATAAGAAAAAATATGAGAAAACTTCATGACCTTAAGTTAGGCAAGTCATTCTTGGTGGTTTTTTAATTATAGGTAAACTGTACTTCATCAAAATTAAAAACTTTTGCTCTGTAAAAAATGTGGGAAAATTTTTGTAGATCACATATCAAACAAAGGACTTGTATCCAGAATATATAAATAACTCTCAAAACTGAACAATAAGCAAAAAACCCAATTTAAAAAATATATTCAAAATATTTGAATAGACACATAACAAAGACAATATACAAACAGTAAATAACACAAGAAAGATGCTATCATTAGTCATTAAAACCACAATGTGATGCCAATACATATTTATTAGAAAGGCTAATTAAGAAGGGGTGCTTGGGTGCTCAGTCGGTTAAGCGTCTGACTCTATTTTGGCTCAGGTCTTGATCTCACGGTTCTTTAGTTGGAGGCCTGCAGTGAGCTCTGTGCTGACAGTGCAGAGTCTGCTTGAGATTCTCTCTCTCCCTCTCTCTCTTCCCCTTCCCTGCATGCTCTGTCTCTCTCTCTCTCAAATATAAATAAATAAACATAAAAAAAGGAATTCTAACATTAAGAGGAAAAAAAAGAAAATGCCAAGTGCTGATGAGGTTGTGGAACAAATGGAATTCTGCTACACTGCTGGTGGGAATGAAAGGTACAGACACTATAAAACAGTCTGGCAGCTTCTTGTATACAGCTTACTATACGACCCAGTAACCTCACTCCCAGAGATTTATAATGGATAAATGAATACTTTTGCCTACATGAAACCTGCACACAAATGTTGATAGCAGTTTTATTCGTTTTGTTGTTGTTCTTTGTGAAAACATTTATATTTAGATTCAGCCAGTTGGACTCAATTTAGATGATTCCAATTTTGTTGGCAACATCCAAAGCATCATAGTTAGAAGCCAGCCGAACATATGCCCTCTTCTCTCCATCAGGCCTGATCAGTGTGTTGATCTCGGCCATGACAATGTCATACTTTCTTCACGTCCTGTTTGATCTGGTGCTTGTTGGCCTTGAATCCACAATGAACACAAGTGTGTTGTTGTCTTCTGTTTTCTTCATGGCTGACTCAGTCAGGGGGAACTTGATGATGGCACAACGGTCAAGCTTGTTTCTCCTGGGGGCAGTGTTTCAAGGATATTTGTGGGGCCTTCAGAGACGCAGTGTCTTGGAATGTCAGAAGGTAGGTGACGTGTGGAAATTCTTTTTTGTATGTGACTGTGGATGTCTTTCCGCATCACATTTTTTTTGGTCTTCAAAGCCTTTGCTTCGGCTGCAGCTTTGGGAAGGGCAAGAGCTTCCTTCTTTGCCTTTGGTGCCATCTTCATGAAACCAATAGCAGCTTTATTTGTAATAGTCAAAAACTGGTAACAACTCCTTCAATGGGTGAATGCATGGATAAACTGTGGTACATCCATACACTGGAATACTAGTCAGAATAAAAAAGGAGGAACTATTGATATATACAACATGAATGAATTGAAGATTTTGCTGAGTGAAAGAAGCCAGTGTCAGAATGTTATATACTACATGATATAATTTATATGACATTCTCAAAAAGGCAAAATTATAGAGATGGAGAAGATATCAGTGGTTGCCAGGGTAAGGGAGGGTTTGACTACAAAAAGGCAGCATGAGAAATTTTCTGGGTGAGGCAACTGTTCTGTATTTTGATTATGGTAGTGATTACATGAATCTATACATGCATTAAAATTCATAGAACTTTACACAAAAAAGCAAGTAATTGCATAGTCAATTTAAAAATTAAAATAAAAATTTATTGTATCAAGGTTTCAATGTCAAAATAAGAATAGACGCTTGGCAATTAGGTCTATTACCAAATCATCTTTTGCAGGCTAACTAACACTACAAAATAATCAACCATTTCCAGATCCTAACAACACGTTCCTCAAGTACCATAACCATAATCTAACTTACTACCCTCACGTAATTGGAGTGCTTTCAGTGCCAATTTTTAGTAAGAGGTACTTCTTCACTGTGATTCTGTTACATATCAATCAACTTGCCCACCAACATCAGACTAATAAAATAGAGAAGGATGTGCCTCACTGGTAAAACAAACAGAAACTTTTATCATTATCAAGTCTAGGCCATGTCTATGCCAACAAAACCAACAAGATGATGTGACTTCATTCATTCATCTTCCAAAGATTTACCAAGCTCATACTAAACCCAGGCCCTGTGAGAATAAAAGTAAGTGCTGAGTCTACCCTCCAAGGAGTCAATCAACACAGAAAATAGAATGCCTCTATGAAAACCTTCTCAACAGTTGAAGAACCACAGAGCATGTGATTAACTAAGAACCAAGAACTATAATCCATTGGATTCTAATAACCAAGGCTATCATCTTTCTCTGCAACTGGAGATGATAAACATGATGTTGGGTATATCCAGCCCAGGTGGTTTTCCTCGTGCCATGGTAAAGTATTAAGTGAAGTTGGGAAAAGTAGGTGGAAATCCTCAGGGTGGATTTTCATATCTAGGTAGACAAATAGTTAAGCTGATTTGTGGCTAACATCATGGTCTCTGGAACCAAGTAAACCAAGTTCAAATCCTGCCTCTACACCTTCTTAGACGTTAATTCTTTGGGCAAGATATTTAACCTCTCTGTGTCTTACGCTCTTCATATGAAAACTGTGTATTATAGTAACACTTTTTCACAAAGTTGGAGGCACTAAATATCAAAGTCCTAAGACGGGTGCCTAGCATATAGTACCTATTTAATAAGCTTTGCTTATCAGAGTTCACAGAGCACAGTCAAGATTTGAAGTCTCTGAGGCTAGTTAGCTTCTGTCTTCTACATCCCAAATTATACTCTGGTCAACTTATCTTATTCTTAAAAATGCATATTACTGGCCATAAGGTCAATATGGGAAAATAAGTAAAACCTAAGTCCTACAGGTAATGGGTAAGCAATTTAGTTACCAAATACAAAGAGTACACAATGTGTATATTCTCTACAGAGATCTTTCCAAAGTGAAAACTACATTTGGAAATATTCTGGACGTATGTGAAGAAAAGATAACTGAAGTGACCAGATTTTCCCCATACACTGGTCATGCTCCAATCCATTCTACCAAAGGAAGATGAACTTACCTTATCAGCAACATCCACCCTGGCCTTGCGATTAAGCAAGAAATCCACCGAGGATAAATGATTCGCCCCCACCGCAAAATGCAGGGCTGTGCGGTTCATCTGAGGAAATGTAATTTGTGTTTTCAGTCATCTGATTGTTATTTGTCCTCTTTATGATTCCTATTTTTCAAACAGCCATAATTTTGTATCTTATGTTTATATTTGCATTGCATAACTCATCATTGATTTTAATAGTATAACGGATTTCAATAAAAAAGTAAAACTTGTGGGGGGCCTGAGTGGCTCAGTTGGTTGAGCACTGGTTAAGGTCATGATCTCACAGTCTGTGAGTTCGAGACCCACATTGGGCTCTCTGCTGTCAGCACAGGGCCTGTCTCAGATCCTCTGTCCCTCACTCTCTCTGTCCCTCCCCTACTCTCAAAAGTAATAAACATTTTTTTAAAAAAGCAAAAGTATTTCTCCCTGTATTCAATTATTAAAAAAATTTTTTTAATGTTTATTTATTTTTGACAGAGAGACAGAACATGAGCAGGGGAGGGGTAGAGAGAGAGGGAGACACAGAATCCGAAGCAGGCTCCAGTCTCTGAGCTGCCAGCACAGAGCCTGATGCAGGGCCTGAACTCACATTCATGAGATCATGACCTGAGCCAAAGTCGGATGCTCAACCGACTGTGCCACCCAGGCGCCCCTCCCTATATGCAATTATTAACAACAGTAATTTTTTTCTGGTTAGAATACATTGATAATCCAAAAGAAAAATTTTCCTAGGTGTTCAATTGTATATGCTCTTTCTTCTGAAATTTTTTGATCTATAAATTTTACTGAAACAAACTGCTTCAGAATAAAAGAAAGAAGAGAATGAATGAATCAATCAATCAATCAATGAAAGATGCAGACACAGAAAAAGAAAGCTATAACTATCTTTTGTTTCAAAGAAAAGCCAAGACAGAGAGGGAAGATGGCGGTGTAGGAGGACGCTGGGCTCACCGCACGTCCTGCTGATCACTTAGATTCCACCTACACCTGCCTAAATAACCCAGAAAACCGCCAGAGGATTAGCAGAATGGAGTCGCCAGAGCCAAGCGCAGACGAGAGGCCCACGGAAGAGGGTAGGAAGGGCGGCGAGGCGGTGCGCGCTCCACGGACTGGCAGGAGGGAGCCGGCGCGGAGGGGCGGCTCGCCGGCCAAGCAGAGCCCCCGAGTCTGGCTTGCAAAAAGCGGAGGGGCCTGACGGACTGTGTTCCAACAGCAAGTGCGACTTAGCGTCTGGGAGGTCATAAGTGAACAGCTCTGCTCAGAAAGCGGGAAGGCTGGAGGACAAAGGGAAGGAGAGCTGCTGAGCCCCCGGAGGACAGAGCTCAGTTTGGTGGGGAACAAAGGCGCTCGCCAGCGCCATCTCCCCCGCCCATCCCCCAGCCAAAATCCCAAAGAGAACCAGTTCCTGCCAGGGAACTTGCTCGCTCCGCGCAAACACCCAACTCTGCGCTTCTGTGGAGCCAAACCCCCCGCAGCAGATCTGACTCCCTCCTGCTGCCACAGGGCCCCTCCTGAAGTGGATCACCTAAGGAGAAGCAAGCTAAGCCTGCCCCTCCTGCCCCCGTGCACCTTGCCTACCCACCCCAGCTAAGACGCCAGATCCCCAGCATCACAAGCCTGGCAGTGTGCAAGTAGCCCAGACGGGCCACCCCACCCCACAGTGAATCCCGCCCCTAGGAGAGGGGAAGAGAAGGCACGCACCAGTCTGACTGTGGCCCCAGCGGTGGGCTGGGGGCAGACATCAGGTCTGACTGCGGCTCCGCCCACCAACTCCAGTTATACACCACAGCACAGGAGAAGTGCCCTGCAGGTCCTCACCACGCCAGGGACTATCCAAAATGACCAAGTGGAAGAATTCCCCTCAGAAGAATCTCCAGGAAATAACAACAGCTAATGAGCTGATCAAAAAGGATTTAAATAATATAACGGAAAGTGAATTTAGAATAATAGTCATAAAATTAATCGCTGGGCTTGAAAACAGTATAGCTGACAGCAGAGAATCTCTTGCTACAGAGATCAAGGGACTAAGGAACAGTCACGAGGAGCTGAAAAACGCTTAAAACGAAATGCATAACAAAATGGAAACCACCACGGCTCGGATTGAAGAGGCAGAGGAGAGAATAGGTGAACTAGAAGATAAAGTTATGGAAAAAGAGGAAGCTGAGAAAAAGAGAGATAAAAAAAATCCAGGAGTATGAGGGGAAAATTAGAGAACTAAGTGATACACTAAAAAGAAATAATATACGCATAATTGGTATCCCAGAGGAGGAAGAGAGAGGGAAAGGTGCTGAAGGGGTACTTGAAGAAATAATAGCTGAGAACTTCCCTGAAGTGGGGAAGGAAAAAGGCATTGAAATCCAAGAGGCACAGAGAACTCCCTTCAGACGTAACTTGAATCGATCTTCTGCACGACATATCATAGTGAAACTGGCAAAATACAAGGATAAAGAGAAAATTCTGAAAGCAGCAAGGGGTAAACGTGCCCTCACATATAAAGGGAGACCTATAGGACTCGTGACTGATCTCTCTTTTGAAACTTGGCAGGCCAGAAAGAATTGGCACGAGATTTTCAGTGTGCTAGACAGAAAAAATATGCAGCCGAGAATCCTTTATCCAGCAAGTCTGTCATTTAGAATAGAAGGAGAGATAAAGGTCTTCCCAAACAAACAAAAACTGAAGGAATTTGTCACCACTAAACCAGCCCTACAAGAGATCCTAAGGGGGACCCTGTGAGACAAAGTACCAGAGACATCACTACAAGCATAAAACATACAGACATCACAATGACTCTAAACCCATATCTTTCTAGAATAACACTGAATGTAAATGGATTAAATGCGCCAACCAAAAGACATAGGGTATCAGAATGGATAAAAAAACAAGACCCATCTATTTGCTGTCTACAAGAGACTCATTTTAGACCTGAGGACACCTTTAAATTGAGAGTGAGGGGATGGAGAACTATTTATCATGCTACTGGAAGCCAAAAGAAAGCTGGAGTAGCCATACTTATATCAGACAAACTAGACTTTAAATTAAAGGCTGTCACAAGAGATGAAGAAGGACATTATATAATAGTGACAGGGTCTACCCATCAGGAAGAGCTAACAATTATAAATGTCTATGCGCCGAATACCGGAGCGCCCAAATATATAAAACAATTACTCATAAACATAAGCAACCTTATTGAGAAGAATGTGGTAATTGCAGGGGACTTTAACACCCCACTTACAGAAATGGATAGATCATCTAGACACACGGTCAATAAAGAAACAAGGGCCCTGAATGAGACATTGGATCAGATGGACTTGACAGATATATTTAGAACTCTGCATCCCAAAGCAACAGAATATACTTTCTTCTCGAGTGCACATGGAACATTCTCCAAGATAGATCACATACTGGGTCACAAAACAGCCCTTCATAAGTTTACAAGAATTGAAATCATACCATGCATACTTTCAGACCACAATGCTATGAAGCTTGAAATCAACCACAGAAAAAAGTCTGGAAAACCTCCAAAAGCATGGAGGTTAAAGAACACCCTACTAACGAATGAGTGGGTCAACCAGGCAATTCGAGAAGAAATTAAAAAATATATGGAAAGAAACGAAAATGAAAATACAACAATCCAAACGCTTTGGGACGCAGCGAAGGCAGTCCTGAGAGGAAAATACATTGCAATCCAGGCCTATCTCAAGAAACAAGAAAAATCCCAAATACAAAATCTAACAGCACACCTAAAGGAAATAGAAGCAGAACAGCAAAGGCAGCCTAAACCCAGCAGAAGAAGAGAAATAATAAAGATCAGAGCAGAAATAAACAATATAGAATCTAAAAAAACTGTAGAGCAGATCAACGAAACCAAGAGCTGGTTTTTTGAAAAAATAAACAAAATTGACAAACCTCTAGCCAGGCTTCTCAAAAAGAAAAGGGAGATGACCCAAATAGATACAATCATGAATGAAAATGGAATGATTACAACCAATCCCTCAGAGATACAAACAATTATCAGGGAATACTATGAAAAATTATATGCCAACAAATTGGACAACCTGGAAGAAATGGACAAATTCCTGAACACCCACACTCTTCCAAAACTCAATCAGGAGGAACTAGAAAGCTTGAACAGACCCATCACCAGCGAAGAAATTGAATCGGTTATCAAAAATCTCCCAACAAATAAGAGTCCAGGACCAGATGGCTTCCCAGGGGAGTTCTACCAGACGTTTCAAGCAGAGATAATACCTATCCTTCTCCAGCTATTCCAAGAAATAGAAAGGGAAGGAAAACTTCCAGACTCATTCTATGAAGCCAGTATTACTTTGATTCCTAAACCAGACAGAGACCCAGTAAAAAAAGAGAACTACAGGCCAATATCCCTGATGAATATGGATGCCAAAATTCTCAATAAGATACTAGCAAATCGAATTCAACGGCATATAAAAAGAATTATTCACCATGATCAAGTGGGATTCATTCCTGGGATGCAGGGCTGGTTCAACATTCGCAAATCAATCAACGTGATACATCACATTAACAAAAAAAAAGAGAA